TAGAGGAAATCTTTTTTTTTTTTTTTTGCTAAACAAGAATTTTTTAGAGAAAATTTGCCAAAAATACAACAAAAAAAATTATAATTTGAAACCTAACAAAAAAACCTCAAATCCAATAGCCTACAATTTGTCACATACCCTATTTTTTTAACCTTTTTAATTTTTTTTTTCGGTTATTCACCAAAAAGACTCAGTCTTTTAATCTTAATCAAAAACATTATACCATGTGTGGGGTCCTTAGAGTTTAATAAGTGATGACAAAACCGTTACCAAATGATTTTTTTTTTTTGGTATGTGATTAAAACAAATAGCATGATACCATGTAAAATAACTTGTTACTGGGTAAAATAATGAGATGCTATTATTTGCCATGTTTCCAATTTTAGTGTCATGCTTATTGAACATGAGTTACTAGTTAATTTCATATTTTCAGGGAAATGACCCATCAATTCATTAATAAATTGCTATTAAAATGGCATCTTTAAATAAAGGGTTAGAAGAATTAACAGAAATCATAAATGATGAAACAAGGAAAAAAGGGGATGTTTATAACCTCACACAATTTACTAAAAACATGCAATGAATTAATTCTTTTTAACGTCAAATGAAATAAGGATTACTTAATTTTCAAAAAAAAAAATTTAGGATTAATTGGTTCGATAACCAAAAAAAAAATTTAATATTTTAAACTCTAATTAAAAACTGTCGGTGGCCAAATCCTACCCATTTGATCTAAGGTTTTTAGTTAGATGTTGATATATAATTTGTTTTTTGTTATCCAACCAATTAACCCATGAAATTAAAATCCCAATGTGTAAAAGGGTTTATTTACATGATAAATTTTCATTTGGTAACAATCTACAATTCATTTTTGTTTTTAAGAACTAAAAACAGAGGATAATATATAATATAGGAAATAGAAACCTGGTGACCAAAGCAGATACCGAGAGTTTTCTTCTTCAACTCATCGATTTTCTTGACAATATCACAAAGCTTAAGGATCCAATCATGATTCTCAAAGGCGTCATGCGAGCTTCCACTGATAACGAATCCGTCGTATTTCTCGAGATCTTTCTCATCGGGAAACTCGCCGGAGACGACCCTGAAAGAGTCCCAATGCTCTCCTTCGTCTCCGAACGTCGACACGAACACGTTGTGGTAACCTCCGTAAGCTTTCTTCACAAACTCTGAGTCCAGAGTTGCTAGAAACAGAGCGTACCTTTTCTGCTCCACCATTTTTCCCGGCGAAAGAAAACACAA